AAAGAGGCATCTCACTGGATTTTAAGGGTCGTGTGTACCAGGCTACAGTAAGGGCTGTATTGTTGTATGGGTGCGAGACATGGTCTGTGCAAACAGATGATGTGAGGCGTCTTTAGGTCCTTGGCCACCGATGTCTCAGAAGGCGTGGCTGAAGTAGGATGGCGCCAGCGTGTTAGTGGCGGCGTGTTTAGAAAACGGGTTTTCGGTTATGCGGCAGGTACTTCAGTCGGGTAAAACATCCAGCACCACCGACTACGATGGCTGGGTCATGTGCTACGCATGCCGAAACACCATCTACCTAGACGAGTGTTTTTTCCGTGCTTCCTTCAGTATTGCGCAAACCGCGAGGTGGACAACCCGTGAATTGGCAGGAGGGTGTGAAATAGATCACGAAGAATTTGGATGTTGTTGATGTTGTACGTCTTCCAGGATGGGGTCTCCGTGACCCCGTCTGTGTTTGGCTGGAGACATTGGAAGAAAGGGTAGCTGGTCGCTTCCGGCTGTGTTCGTGCTGTCAGTTTCTTCCTAGACAGTCTGATCCAATGCTTTGAGGTGTATGCACCTCTCAGTGCTTGACACAGACCAACAAACACTCTCTTTCTCTTCTTTCTACTCTGAAGCCTACTAATTGGTGACCCACTTGATCACACAATCCCTTGACCGATACTTAACACAGATTTAGCTTTACTTCGCAGATTGCTTCTCCTTCCGCCTAGTCACTTGGCCCAGCGAGACTCTTGTGTGAAATCAAAACGTTGCCCAGCTATGAATCTACCGATTGTAACTAAACTTTTCCGAAAACAATTGGACAAACTTTGTGGTTGTACTGCAATGAAGCATTATTGTGAACACTGATGCCGCTGCCTCTGATGATTGTGATGATTCCACCGCACATGATATGGTAGTCTTTTTTTGGATAGTCGACCCCCCCCTGAAATTTGACGTAAGGTTCGAGGTGAACATTCCGGATGCATTTTGCTGAACTCATGCATTTGAAATGACGTGGTTTAGAATTATCGAAAAGTGGTTCGAATTCCGTTTCGACTTCCGTTCATATCTATTTTGACGGACCCCAAAGTTTTTGTTCTTCTCATTGCACCACACCGGTGCCCCCGGTTCTGAACACCGTTGAAAACCGACACTCACCAAGTTTTGGTCGAAATTACTGTACTCGTTTAACTACTAGAGCAATGAGCAGTAGCAGAAGATCAGGAGGAGCGTTGTTGGTCAGTCTAACCTCGGCCTCAAACGCGTGTGGTGCTGGTGACCTGACTCGTCAGATTGTCGTTACCTTTTGGAGTGGTTTGTGTAGATCACCTCTGCACGACGTTTCCAAGCGTTCAACCTTTGTCTTCACCTCTGCACGACGTTTCCAATCGTTCAACCTTTGTCTTCGAAATCGGATTTCCCCAGGCTTTGATGCGTCGTATTTACCGGGATGTATTTTTGTGGGAGTCAACAGTGTGCAGTTTGTACGTGAATTTCCGGATATGCCTCAGCCTTGAGACTTCTGTGGGGAAATGCGTTCGGGATCAACCCATCTTGGTGCACAACCCTTTCGAAATCAATCCAAAAGACACCCGAATTTTAGTGGTTAGATGACCAAACATGAGAGGATTGTGGATCCCATCCACCCGGCTGCCCTCAAATCGCATTGTGGAATACTATAAATTTTATAGTTCCATTGCGACAGATGAACAGTTTCCTAACCCAGTGGATCACACCCGACGGCATATATTCGAGACAAGCAGGTCTGACAGATTTTCCAGCTAGAGGAAAGTGAAACGGGATATTTTTTCTCACTTTAGAGACTGAAGAAATCATAACGTAACTTGAGTAACGTGGTGAAATATGTAGTTGGTAGGTTAGTTATTCAATCAGGAATGTAACGTTTTTGCTTGTAACCCTTTCAAAAGTGGTTTTTCGGGCACATTGTGGGAAAGCGAAACACTTGGGTGTGCAACCGTTCGGTCGTGCCACATACTACTATATACTACTGGTGTAATATGTATACTACTGGCATTTATATATCTTGCCGCGCGTGTGAAAGGTATATTTTTCTTTTTCGGGTTCGAATTTCTCTCAGAATGCCACATGTAGTGTGACAAAACTGTCAGTGAGCCTTAGCATGGGAACCGTTTCAAAAAATCACTTCTTTTCGAACGATAGGTCTGATGCTGTCATTGTATACGAGGACTCATCAAGTGGATGTGCAACCGTGGCCCGAGCTCCACGGGAAGCACATACTGGTGACCTCTACTAGAATGCTACTGCGAAACAGATCCAGGGAAATTCGAACATGTCGCTTTTTAGTTGGGTCTTGAAAAAATCGTATGATCCGTTAGTGGGTCTATATTCACTGAGTAACCTTTAACGTCAGTGTGGCTAGGTTCATCGTTGGGGCTTGCGTAGTAGGCTTGGATATGGTAGTGTAGGATGTATTTCCGAACACATGCAGTACAACGCAACAACCCTTATAGCAAGTCCAGTGGTGGTGACAAAATGCATGCGTAGATGACTACTAAAACGTCATACAGTAGTGTAGACGGATTAACCACGTGGATGTCACACAATGCTCAGTGTACGACTGGACCACAGACGAATGACATTGCTTTTGTGGAACTAGCCTAACACAACATTCTGTCCGCTGTCTCAATAATACGCGATCAAAATTGGCCGCACAGTTACGAGTGATTCATTACTCCTGGTTTCGTTGCGAACTCTGTTACTTATGACATCAGTGAGCTTAGGCCAGGCGGATCGGTATGCGAATTTACTGACCGGGAGGTCCGTGGTTCGAACGCGACCTCTGCCTCTCGACTTCCTCTGTCTAGGCTTAAGCGACCTGGCAGTATCCCAGCCCTCGTGCCTCCTTCGTGTGGCATGGCAGCTAGGCACTGAAATGGTGCTACAGCTGAACGATTATTTTTTATTATCGGGATGCAGTTGTTTCACAAGCCAAAGGAGTGTTTGGTCGATTCAGTATTCACACCAGTGTTCATAGTGAAGCGGAGAGCAAGCCCAGAGTGTTGTTCCCATAATTTACATCCTTGGTAATCACGCAGTCAGAACTAATCACAGTACCCTTTGTCGCTCTCTTCCCCTGCCTCTCTGTCCAAACCTGCAGGGTTCCGTTCAAGCCTTAGCCTTTTCTCCTTGCGGTCGCTATCTGGCCAGTGGTGGTTGGTGCGGCTCTGTGTGTATCTGGGATTTGGGTACCGGTCATCAGGTTGGGCAACTGGGCGGGCATTCTGCAGAACAGCCGCGCAACGAAGACGCGTCCACTGCCTCAGCGGATTCTAGCCAATGGCTTACTGGGCCTGTAGTAACGCTTGCCTATAACCCGGACGGCTCGGGTCGCTTGGCTGCCGGTGGACTGGATGGAGCGGTTCGCATCTGGGATACGAGTAGTGGACGTCAACAACGGGTCGGAGCCTCCTCATCCACGACTACCGAGTTGTCCGAACGGCCACAGTCCGGACTGATAGCGATGCATAGAGCTACCAAGCAGCAAATCAGCCGTGGTCAAAGTTCGCAAGGTCAGGTCAATCCGAACTTCGTCAGCTATTATTCGTCAGTAGCCGGTGCTTCCGTTTCCGACAAATGTCTACGAGAGGCATTCTTTACCCGTCGAACTTCAGTGCTCGGATTGCAGTATGTTCATCCGTATCTTCTGTTAGCAGCTGGACCGTACAATCAGATGTGAAATTGTACCCCATCAGCCCTCTCTCTCACTCCCTATAAACTGTACATACTATTGTTGTTCCATGTTGCTTTGCGTATGAAGACAGTTTTCCACAGTACAGTCGTTTCTTTAGACTCTGGTATGTGGGAAAAACAACCGAATGTCAAATGCAAAAGTGCATCTCAAGTTCATCATCGTCACAATCAAAGGCAGCAACATCAGTGTTGCCACTGATGCTTCACTGCTGTACTCACTGCCGTATTCACTCATTTGCAAACTAATTTGTTTTTTTGCGAGAGGCTCACCTGGAACCCAGCTGATACACTCGTTTGTGATGTTTGCAGGAACCAGGCCACCTCATGTTTCACTCGCTACGATATTCGAGATATCGCGATACATGTATATGTTCGTAATGTACTACTCATAAGGTTGCTGAAAATCCGTCGACAGCCCACGACCGGTTTCGCCATTCAATTGCCTGAGAACATCACAAAACGAGAGATTCAACTGGGTTCCGGGTGAGTCTCTCTAAAAATCAAATCAGTTTGCAAATGAGTGTATATTCGCTAATTTCGTGCAGTTTGGTTTCAAGCAGAACTTAAGGTTGACGGAAACCCGGGGACTGCACCTACCTGATGGGCCCCAAAAAGGGCGAAACCGGTCGTGGGCTGTCGACGGACTTTCAGCAACCTTATCAGTAGTTCATTACAAATATATACATCTGAAGTTGTTTCTCTACCCTAGGGTTGAGTTTGTTCAGGTCGAATTCGAAATCTGGTCGGATTCCATGCGCATAGGTTATCGTTGTGGGTTATGGCAGATGATCTCTTCACCCGGATACCTCTAAAAGCTCATTCGTTCGGCGCGTTATGGTTCATAATGGTTGCCCCGCCGACATACAACCCCAGTATTCAGTTCAGTTTATCGACTATAATCAATTCACCAAGGATACGTTGGTTTGAGCTGCTACATTCTTTGGTAAATGGGAAAGCATAGTAGATGTAGTAATCATTAAAGGCGACGGCATAACCAGTTAGTTTGAAAAACTGGAAAGCTACGAATTAGAAGCGATAGGTTTGATGCACGACGGCCACTGACTGCGTGATTGAGCCATGTCCGCCAGTATCATTAACTGTTGGTGAGCTGATACCCCATCCACGGAGACGGCAGTGGTTAGCCTGACAGTTTACTGGTTAGCGTCTTCATACTTCGTTGCCAGCTCATACACTGTTTACCTCTCGGTGGCTTCGACTCAGCGCAGGGCTGGGCGAAAAGAGCTCTGGGGTGCAGCTGCTCCTCTCTAACTTGCAGAATATTTCCTGACCAGTATAACCCATCGCCGCTTAGTTCTTTTTTCTTACAACCAACGTCGCTAGTCTGACGTCGATCTGACCCGACCAACGGTCGTTTTCTGCACGTAGAGACCACGTTTCTGATCCATAAAATAGTAAGGATCGCTGTAAATTTTGCCCTTGATTATCACACATAGGTCACGTTGGCGTCATAAGTGTCGGAGGTTGGCAAAAGCTGCCCTGAACTTCCTGATTAAAGAATTCGTCTCGTCTCCAGCTAGTCCACTGGAACTGCCCGGGGGAACACACTTATCTGCCACTTCGATCGGCTAATCTACAAGCATGAGTTTTGGGTTTGACCCTTCCAGTCTTGTAGCAGCTTTTTCCACTTTACAGGTGTGAAGTGCGCACCAAACCGTTTGCCAGCTGAACTTAAGCTGTTTGAAATGGTTTGAATTTTGAAGAATCCGAACTACGAAGAGCGATATCACCTGCATACTCAATGTCTCTGAGCGAACATTCCGGCACTATGGACTGGAGCGGGAACAGCAGTCGTACATAACAAATGCGGTGTCTCCCAGCCGTGTTTCTTGATGGATTCTTCTGTATTGCACATCGTGTACATCAATAATCAAAAGGCGAAGTTTACTAGCATCTGTATGTAGTTCATCTTTCGGGTGCTTTAGAAATGGTTTATGCTTGTTTTAGGGATAGCCTGCGGTGAACTGCTGCTGACCTCAAATCTATTTGGGGTAGCCAATTTCTCTCCTGTAAGTATCTGACGTATGAAATGAGATCCCCATGGCGAAGTTCCCCAAGTGTGACTTCTTGTTTCTAGACCCAAGGTTTGACAAGCAGTTCACAGTGGTTGTCGCTCGAACTGGAGTACCTAAGGTGTACGTTGGCGGTTGTAGGCCGTGTGTGCTTTTGGATAATGGATGGCAGGACCCCTCCTTGTTTGCTTGCTTATGAAGTCTCAAGATCTCGTGACAATTCTTTAAGGTGTTTTGGGGCCAAGGCCAAAACACCAAACCGGTTCCATTGAAAAGTCCAGTTGTCTGATCAAAGTCGACCGCTGATGATCGCTCCAGCGGTACACGCGGGTGACCACTTCCAATGACCAAAACGTACTCCAGTCCTTACTAAGAATTTGAATTGCTCAAATGCACACTATATTATTGGAAGCTTTGATTGACCGGGGTTCAAACTGAATTCTGTTGGAGGGCTCTGGAAGATGGCATAATTTTCTTCCGGAGCCCTACTCCTAGCCTCTTACTCGAAAGTCTGACCCACCAGGCAACATGTACTGGGGTTTTCTTGGGAGACCTCCCGGGGGAAGGGATTACATATCCATAGGGTTCAGTGTTTAAAGTATCACCGTCTGATTCCTACTATTTGTGAGCTCGCCAACCGTTTCTTACTAGCGCCGTTTCTAAGGGTTGTTCGGTACCACTGCATCAGACGCCAGTTGCGTTATCAGCCAACACGCGATGGCTGTGTTCGGGTTTTTGGTTGAGGTTTCCTCGCCTGTACTCCGGTGGGGTACAACGTTACTGGTTCTATGAATAGGGAATTTTCGGTCGCCTGGAAGAAACAACGTCGAGGAGTTTTCAGCTACCTTACGAATAGTGTATTACGTCTATACAGGTATCTCGAATATCGTACCAACTGAAACATGAGGTGGCCTGGTGCAACATGTTCAGTTGCCTGGAAAATCACAAACGAGAGATTCAGCTGGGTTCCAGGTGAGTCTTCCGCGAAGACCAGATTGGTCTGCAGATGAGTGTATTTCGCCAACGACGTGCTCCTTTCACACTTCCATCGTAGACGAATGCACAACCATCCCCATAGCAACTCAAGAGAAGATTGCTCGCCTTTTCTGTCTGCCTTCTCCATTTTGGTCCTTTCGACATTAACTTCCCAACGGTTCCTATTCGTAACACCCAGATCCGTTGTCATCATTCAGCTGTAGCACCTTTTGGGTGTGTACCTGCTATGCTACCCGAGGGTAGCATTGTATGGGTCCAATAACAGGTGTGGCAACCCTGGAAAGGCAAGAAGGTCAAACCAACGGTTTTGTTATTTATCAATAGGTGAATCGTATTGAAAAGTTAGTCGGTCACTTGGTGAATACGGCAACCTGCTGTGCCAAACAAAGCCTTGTGGACTCATTCAGGCCACAAGGCCGTGTCACTGATCCAGTCTCTCTAATCACGGATGACAGATTTCATCCGGTCAATATCTGTAGTGAGAAGATTGGGTTTTTACGTTTTACTAAACAACTTGTGTGCAGGAGTTTCTAGCAGGAAATTTCCAGTGCATGCTTCCGTGCTCTCCTTTTGATCATTGAATTCAGCGTTTTGAAGGGGATGAGGTACGTGAACCAGTTTGGCCCAGTTTTTAACAGGAAATGTAAAGAACTCAGCCAAAATTACCATCATCCGTATTCTTCTAGAGGAGTTAGAGACGGCGCGAAACATTCAATCAAAATATAAGATGCCGTTCCTTGAAACGACACTGTTTCTTGCTTTCTAAGCCAGACCGATGTATTTCAGCAAAATGTCTATGAGATGAACTGTTTTGAGTTTACTACGTGAATTATTTCAGTGGGCAGATTGGAACCGGCAGCGCGTGGTTTGCAAATTTTGAACAATCCCCGATGTGATTTGAAATGAAAGCAGTGGTATTCACTGTCATGCATCAAGTCCAGTGAAACTCTTGGACTCCCTATGTCATTCACGGTCCATTTTACACCCACAATTCAGTTCACTAACTCCGTTAGGCTATTTCCACAGCAGTCTATTTTTAGTTCGGACGAATTCACTAAATGAGTCAACTACGTTGACTTTGGTCATTGGAGTGGGCTGGAGGGTTCACTGCTGTTGGTCTGACCATATTCCGACCTTAAGTATTACGAGCCACGATGCCCTAAGAAATCCCCCGTTTTTTGTATTCATGCTGGTGAAACCGGGCAGTGTCTACTATGGACGAATGTTCTAGGCCTTATTGTAAAGCTACACAGACGCTCGATGATTATTCTACTCGCTGGGTTATCATTCTTGACCATTTGCGTCTTTCGTAGGTCTTTTTGACATCTGGTGACCTGAAAAGCTGTTACGGTTGGGTTGCAAGATAAGAAGTCCCCATTCAAATCAGGCCTGCTTAGTAATAGGTTGAAATACTGATAGCTCGGGTGAGATTATTGGCTGTTGATCAGGTGACTATTGGTCTGCTCGGCGAGCTTGGCAAATGACTTCCAAGTAAATTGTTCTGCTTAATTGCTTGTCTGCCTATCGAAGATTATCCTGCACTCCGTGTTCCACAGTTTCAGGGGCCGTCTTTAGAGTGTAACTATGTGTTTTCCGAAATGCTGGGGCTTTTTGTGTCATCAAGACTTGATTGATCAACTTGGTGCTGCTCATTGCACCGACTCACTTTGGGCTTGAAGCGACCAGGCCTTGACCACCACTGCGCTCACCATCAGTCGAACCGTGTCCTATTTATTTCCGCAGCATGATCACCTTTCATCTGGTCACATAACCTTACATTACAGCAACTTAATGTTTTGCATCCTTGTTTTGATATTTCTTGGTCAACTGTTGTCGAACTCGTTGCCAAAAACACGTTTACGGTATTCGGCTTTACATGCTACAAATTGATTTATGCTTCCATCAAGCCGCTTTTGATGGGACCAATCCAGAGTGTTTTATAACTCAGAATAATTTGGTCGCGTTTGAGATAGGCCTTATGTCGAGTCTCTGTTTACGCTCGTTGCAAAACTGCAGATCCGTTTGTCGCCTCAAACGTCACTGCTAATCGTTAACCGTCCTTTGTATTCCGATCTAGTGTCATCTGCTACATATATTTGTCCGTCCATACTTAGGCCTGTAATCACTTATGGGAATCGTTCATTGGTGGGGCACCGGATTGTATGGAGGGCTGAAGGCCACAAAATCTATGCGGATGAATTCGTTTGCGAAAGTTTAACGAGTGAAGAAAGTACTTGCATTAATACGTCACTGACGTTCTTCTCGCAGTCCAACTTTAGTAATGCATCAGTCAATTGGCTCTTCAGGTCTCCGTTTGACAGTAGGCCAAATCAGAGCGATGTCTGTCAGTTTCTTCCAAGTGCGACTTCTAAAGCTCCATTGTTCCATCTGGTTGTACGTAACAGGCGCGTGAGGCCCTGGCCAATCATCGCCGTCGACCGATAGGGTCATTGCACCAATCACGTTCGTCGACGATCGCGGCTTGTCTGGTGCACCAGCAGTTATATAGCGTTTATGAAGATGCTACACTGTACAACCGCGTCTATTGACAGCCCAAAGTTTCGTAACGGTAATCCGAGAATGAACATCCCGTATCTGACATCAGTGGCGTTGTTTATTCTGGTGCAATCAAGTGTTGGTGAGTGAATTCGTCAGCGTTTGGAAACATTCAAATGTATGTGGATGGTAGCACTCACATTGTAACACAAATAATTGCATTTTCATGACGGTTGTAGTTTACGTATAATGTACATCTTTGCTAAAAATTTAAAGGTATATATTGGACAATTTGCCAGGAGGTATTTTGTACTAGAAGAATAATTTTAAGAGAAAAGGCTCGCTACACTTCACCAATCAAGACTCACACGTCAGGCACAAAGTGTCCGTCATACTGAGTGTGGTTTGAGATTAAATGGCAAAAGTGTACACTAGACGCCATGTGCCACGCATAAAAGTGTCATAAGTGCACAGAAAGCCCACAATGGCGAGCAGACACAAGTCACTGTCTGTGACCTTAGGAAGTCCCAGTACAATAACAGCCTTGGCGGATTGAGGAAAGCAGATCCCTCAATAAGAAATGATCATCGGTTGGTGGACCAAAATTCGACATCACAACCGACTTCACGTAGGGCTGAGATCATGGCGAGGGAACCATCATTAGCACCATACTTCTGCTTCTTCTCATTCCACATAGTCCCTCTCCACCCATCCGAGACTATGCTTACGTTTATAACAGTTGCTCGGCGCTCCTGAACAGCGATTAGGTGAGGTTTGATGAAGGACGTCGAAGTACGTGCTCTCAACTCCTTGAAGACGGTATATCCCAGTCGACAAAGACGTTTTACGAGTTCTCTTGCAAGCCGATTTTGGCGAGCACATCTGGCGTCATGCATGATCCAACAGGACTGCAAAGTGTGCACCACACTCTCCGGTTGGCTACAGTTTCCACAACATAAGATCGTCTGGCCACCATGACCATGCCGAATGTGCTGACAAAGTTGCTTCAAAACTTGTCTCTTTCACATCAATCGGAGTCAGACTGTACGGCTTCTCATAAAACGAAATCAGTCTTATTTATCATACTGCCATAAGACAGAGTACTGAACACAATGTGACTACCTAGGCGTGGTCACTCAAACACTCTTGTACGATTGAATCTTGTGGAAAAACTACAGATCTACGTAGAGGACTTTAATACATTGGTACGGGACAAATGAGTGATCATTTTGGACTGAGCGTCACGTGGCCGATCCCTACGCGGTCAAGATGGCATGTGTCGTGTTGCACGTTGGATCTACACACCTGGAAGTTACTGTGATTGAATGCACTCGTTCAATGTAATTCTACGAAGAAAGCACACAATGTCAAAAACCCTGGTAGTCTTGTTAACAGTCGTCATTTAAGGATCTTTTGTGAGCCCAATTCCAGTTGATAATTCTCAGGATTTTCCGGTGGAAGCGTTTTTGTAGAGAAGCTGACTAATGAAGCAATAAACGCAACGAATATTCTTCCGGCATCAGAACATCTGGGGGAATATTTTCAACCACATTAATGCAGGGTTTCATCCGAGTGAAATTAAATAAGACGTCCAGACGCGAAACTGTTCCGTGAAGGAGGCACCTCTAAGGGGGGATCAGTCTTCATCAACCTTTGTGGACTCGTCATTATCGTCACCACCGCCATCATCATCATCATTACCATCATGAAAGATAGCAACGTCAGTGTTGACACTTATGGCTCACTGCCGTACAACCATAAGGCTCGTCTAGATATATACATATACATAATTATATTAAAAGCCCTAGGGTGGAAAGAAGAGAAACAGAGTGGGTGAAGGGGGACCTAGTGCTGGCCTTTGTCAAGCATTCTGAGGTGCATACACCTCCAATCGCTCAATCAGACAATCTGGAAAGAAACTAACAGCCACTGATGGCGATTAGTCGTTATTTCTTGCAACGTCTATAACCAAGCACAGGCAGGATCGCGAGGACCCCATCTTGAAAGGCGTACAACACTAACAACACCCGAACTTTTAGTGATCAATTTTACGCCCTTCTGCCAAGGCATGCGTTGTTGACCTCGCGGTTTGCGCCATCCTGAAGGAGGCACGGAGAACAACACTCATCTCGGTAGACGGTGCTTCGGCAGGCGTGGACTAAAACTCTCTGTGAAAATGACTCACGATCAGACCATCAGAGACAACTGTCAGAGGGTAGCATCTTTACTCTCTACCCAACAGTGGGATTCTTCAACAACTGATCTTTCATATTTTACCTCTGGAACGATTGAACGCACTTAGTTGCACGCTCATATAAAATGTAGCGATTATTTGGAATCAAAGATCCCAACTTGTTTCTCTGCTGAACGTGAGAGGAGCACCAAACAAGGCATACAGTATTTCTCTTCAAAAGTCATTCATCGAGAAAGGAAAAGTTCTTACGTTTGTACATTTATGTTGGGAATTAGTAGTGAAATGGTTTTCGGTGGCGAAATTCGCTTTCTTCGTGTACTGAATTCTAACTGTTGGTGTACTCTTGTACACACTCCACACCTGTGCCTTGATGATAGCTTCTTAAATCAAAATTAATAGGTAACATCGGAAGCATCGTCGTTCAGCCTTAGCACCCCTTCGGTGTCTAACTTCACGAGCGCTTGGATACTGCCAGTTTGCTCAAGTCTAAACAGGACAAGTCAGGAGGTAGAGGTCGGGTTCGAACCACGAACCTTCCGGTCAGTAAATTCGCGCTCAAACCACTTGGGCCATCTCGCCCCACATCAAAATCAAGATTTTAGCCCCTGGGTCATAGCTGTTCTGAAGAAGCCATTTTATCGCGTAAAAGATCACGTGAGTTGAGCTCAAATTCGGCCACCTGAGAAGCAGAGTAAACATATTTATTTCAGATTGCCTTATCGTTCGTTTACCGTTGCCTTGATTTGACGCTACAACAAAAATGCAGACTATCTCGGAATAAAAAACCGGTCTGGATGTTTCAGTCTTTTCTTGATGGAACCGTCGGAGTCTTGTCTCTGTTTTGGTATTCTAAGGTCACGCATCGCCCAGGATGCATCTGCTACCATAAATGACAGCAAGTTGTTCTCCGCCTTTCCTGTACACAAGCGACAAAAACTCTGTCTTTGAAGAGTTTTATGCTTTTTGTTGTCACATATCTGCCACGTATCTGTGAACCTGGCTTCAATTACAGTTCGTAAGCGAGCTAGACTAAGAGAGGTTCTCGCGGTCAGAACAGGTGAGGACGGCCGATCAAGATGTTGCTAATTGATCCAACTGTTCGGGTTTCGTCATAGGCCGGATCAAAGTACATGTGAGTGCTTGTGTCCATGATATTCGAGGTTTGAACGAGTATACGAAGATCAGATTTTTCGCACACGGATACCAGACACATGCACAAAGGTCAAACGGGCTTTTCCAGCTACCCTCAGCCTCAGCGATGATACGGAATCCGATGGGAAGTATCTGGCATAGGCGTGACAGTACTGTTCTAGAAGGAATTTTCTTCAGGGTCGACCTCCTTGAAAAACAAGTATGCTCTCGATGTAGGCTCAAAATTCGTCCACAAGTACAGACATCTGGCTTCCCCTCAAGCAATTTTTCACGTACTAGGTAACTTGTTCCGATTTTCTTGGCTGTCCACTTCTGTCATTCAAAACTCTGCGGTGTGTTTCCTTACACAATGTCTACTATGGCGGCCTAAACATTAAAGTTAGTCATCGACCCAATTTTCGACTCCAGCTGTAACCAAGAGTGAACAAATTGTAAACAGATATATTGCCACACTCTACAGCCATTTTCAGCTGGCGTCACCGACTGAATCATGCCAGTCGCTGTACAAATCAGGGTGGGTGAGCGATATTTCGTGTGTCTCGGACTCACTGCTTCATATATCTGCAAACTGTCCGGATCATATTGGCCTTACTGGACGTTGTTCTATTAGCTGTGTGCAACTGTGTGTAACTCCTGAGCGTCACTCAATGAACTCAGGATCAACGTTTTTCTATTCAAACTTTATTCAGTGGGAAACTTTGTCTCATTTGGAGAGTTTTTCCAGTACCCTGTTAGTGTTTTGCCAGAGTACCAACAGGGGATTTGGTCTCGAAAAGACAACAGAATGCACGAATTTGTCTTACCCGAGTCTTATTCCAAAATCGGTTCTGTCGGTCATGAAAAATGAAACTTCAAGAAACTCACCCTCAGTTTGACTGTATCAGTCACTGCAACTGCACACCTCAACTCTTTTGGAGAAATCATCATGATACGAAGATCGGAACATATTGTGAAAGTAAACGCATATGACCTAGCCTGTTTTTGGCCAATAACTCTAACGCGCTTGCGTAACATTTTGTCTGCTGTCTGCAGTCTTTTTTTTGACGAACGCAACTAAATATCGATTATGTTTGAAGTGACGCGACCGGCTTTTTTGTGGTTTTTTATATCTTCCATGATTCAAAGACAACAAGGCCACATTCTTCTCGAGTGGATGAATTGACGGGAACGGTTAGCAAGTTTGTTGCTTGTCCAATCATTATGCCAGTCCAAGGAAAGTACCCTAAGACTTTTCTTTTGTCGAACGGGATCTTTTGAACTATGGCGAAACCAGATAGAACCGCGATTCCAAAGCCGTCCAAATCGAGGCACTTCCTCTGCGGTTGGGCAACCTAGCCTGAGGCCAACAGCGAGTTGAGCAGTCACCTCAAATTGACGATTCGCGGATGATTAAGCGAGATGACGATAAGATTGATGGTCGGTGTATGTTAGCGGCATAACGAATGAAAATTTACTACTTGCGACTCCTCCGGTAGTGCCGGTTTCACGCTTACGTGTGGTAAAATCCAGATGTTTTCAGTCAACTGAAAAAGGTTTTGAAACAAGGGAACATGTTTCACGTAGGACGGAGGCGGGATATCTCTCAACTGGCAGACTAAATTATGGCTGAGTGCTGAAGAGAATTTCCCACTGGCTAGTGTGGATCGCCATGGTAATCACAAACTGACATCAACTTGGCGAAATACACTCATTGCAACTAATTTAGTTTTGCGAGAGACTTACCCAGAACCCAACTGAATCTCTCGTTTGTGATGTTTACAGGCAACTGAATGTATTGCGCCAGGCCGCCTCGTGTTTCATTTGGTGCGAGATATCGCGATACATGTGTATTCGTAATGCACTACTCATAAGTTTGCTGAAAATTGGTTGACAGGCCACGGTCGGTTCCTTTCTTCTTCGGGCTCATCAGATAGGCGCAGTCCCTGAGTCCCCTTTAACCTTATGCTTTACTTGAAACCAAATCGCATGAAATCAGCGAAATACACTCATTTGCAAACTAATTTGGCTTTGCGAGAGACTCACCTGGAATCCAGCTGAATCTTTCGTTTATGATGTTTCCATATCAACTTGGGACCTTTTCGTAGCTCTGCTCATCCGGTCCAAGAAATCTTTCTAGGGGCACTCTTGGGCATCAAGTAAACCGCTTGTTGGCAGGCGTAGATTACCAAGTTGTAAGAGTTGAGAAATTGAGGGCTTTTAATAAATCTCGAGCCTTGTGGCAAATCCTCTTTACTGGCTGCCGCACACCGGTTGGGTGAACATCGCCCCATCAACGCCTGCCACTTCTATAACCTTTATTTAGTTCATGCTACAACATCTTACGACTTGCACCACCTCAACTACATTTCGCTAATAGCCCTCAACTTGACCGTGGTAGGTCGATCCGGATACGTCATTAAGACCTGTTCGA